TCTTCTACCTCAATCGTCAAGTTCTTCAATAGAATCTTCATTTTCTATAGACTTAAAAGAGAGTCTATCTCCCTTCACATCATCAAATTTTTCCTCATTTCGAACAACATCCATTTCCTCAAAACGTTCAAAACGCAAATGTTCTGTATCAATAGAACAAAAAGAATGCCAGTTTCGTAACTGATATTCTATGAATAATTCACATTTCTTTTTCAAATTTTCTTCCCCAATTTCCTTACAAACATTAATTAACTTTTCTTTAATTTGTATTTGTAAATTCTCGTATTGTCTAAAAAAAATAATAAATTTACTAATAAAATAAATTATTGGGGAATGTGTGACTAGACTAAAATCTAAAAAGACTTATTTCCAAATCACTATTGGTGAATACTCTTCACCAATAGTGAAGCCGCTCTAAACCGCCCCAAAACTTCTTTCAATTTATTATTAATTTAATTTTAATTTTTATTGCCATATAGGCGTATCTGCCATATATTATGCTTCCGTTTTTTTATTTTTCTTCCATGGAGAAGGGCAAATCTCGAATATATGTATTTAATATTTAATTTACCCGATATCAATACGTTTCTGCCCCAAAACTTCACTCAATTCCAATCCATATTCCTGCCCAACACCATTACTCAAAAATTCAGAAATCTTCACAGTTCCATCTTTATTGAATGAATTTTCAATTCTTTTAGTTAAACAATATCCAACAAATAGATCAACAGAATTTTCAAATTTCTTTTTAATTTCCTCACTTTCAGGCAATATTTGTTTGTAAAAAATATTTTTTTCCTTTTCTTCTCCAAAAAATAATTTTTTCCAATTTTCCAACAAAAATTTATATTTATTTTCCAATCGTTCATCAAATTCTTTAATATCATTAATTAATTCCCTCATTTCATCAAGAATCTCGTCTTGTCGTATATTTTCTTCTTCATTAAAAATTACTTTTCTAGTCTCTTTCCAAAACAAAATACGTACAGCCCTAAACTTTGCAAGTTCCTCAATTGTCTTTAATTCTTTAAAATAAGCAATCATTGGATTTGTATTATCAATTAAATTAATTGCTTCATTTAAATTTTTAAGCAAATTATTTAAATTTGTTTTTGTAATTTTTTTATTTAAAAGCTCTTGAACATTTTTTAATAATTTAAATATCTCCTCAATTTGTTTGGCTTCGTTCGAATATTTATTTAATTTTAAATCATTTACTAAACCATTTTTTGAATTTTCACGTATAAATTTGCATTTCTCTTTAAATGCTGCATTTAAAACAAAATTTTGATTTAATGATGTTTTAGACAAAACTATAAAATCTAAACATTTTTGACATTCGGTTTTTAATTTAATATTCCATTCAAATTGTTGGAAGTATTCAAAATTTATATGTCTCAAATCTTTTGTAAGTCTTTTAATATTTTCCATTTTCTTTTCTTCATTTTGTTTTTGAAATATTTCTTTGATCTAAAGATTATTTTTATTCAAATTTTTTAATAAAATTATAAATGGTTTTGATTTTATAATCAATGAGAATAATTTAGGGGTTTATTTTGTGTGAAAATTTATAACTGGGCCGTATGAGTCATTTTCAGGCCTGATTTTTATTGAATTGGGTCAGATAAGTTACTTTCGGGCCAAATATCCTACGCCTGACTCAGCCCTTTGGTCTGAGTCTGTCCATTTTGGAAACTTTTCATTATAGTTATAGTCGCCTAATTTTTATAGTTACATATATTATAGTCATATTTCCACGTTATCCCATTTTCAAAAAACAATTATTTAATCTCAATATTTAAATAGAAACTTTACTTTAATTAATTCAAATTTAATTATTTCAGAATAATTCTTTAATTGTTTTTCTTGTTGATTTGTATTTTCAGTATTCCCTAAACTTTCAATTTCCGTTGGATATTCTAATCCTGATTGAATTGTTTCTGTCAAAATTTTACTTTTGATTTTTAATTCAATTAATTTGTGTGCTTCAGTGAATGTGACTTTGTGAAGTTTAGAATTGTTTACTTAATTAAAGATAAATTAAATTTTATATCAAAAATATGTATTAATTATAATCGAAAATATTTTTTTTCAAATTAATTTCTTTAAATATTTTACTTACAAATTTCCTCAAAAATTTCCTCTTTTTGTTTGCTAGTTATCATTTTATTTTCATTAATGTCAATCCTTTCTAAATATGCCAACCGAAAACCGTCTTTCTGCATTCCAATTTCATCATCTTTTTTTAAATTAAAAATATTATTATTTTAAAAATTAAATATGTAAATTACTTACAATAATTAACTGCCCATTCCTCAGTTCTCTCAAAATCCAAAATATTCTTGTCAATATAACAATAATTATTTGAATTATTTTTTAACTCATTTTCAAAATCCTCTTTAGTTTTGAATTTTAAATAAATTCCCGAATAAATGTCGAGAACATGTTTATAATACCTAAATATTTAATTTTGAGAAAAAAAATTTATTATTGTGGAAGTATTAAGATATTAAAACAAAATATTGAAAATTCCCTGAAAATTGCTCTTAAATGTTTCTAAAAATAAGGAATTAAAAAAATAAAAATTCTTCATAAAGGCACAAATTTTGAATTAAAAATGTGTAATTTCTTGACACCCATTTTTGAAAAAAAAAACTTGATAAAACCGATCAAGTTATAGATATTTTTTTAAAATTATGTTGATATAGTGTCAAATAATGTTTATAATTTAATTACTAAATATTTATTTACATTTTATCAACTCTCTTCTTTCCCAATTTTCCACTCATTTCCAGTCCATATTCCATCAGATTTGTATTTGAAATATTTTGTAATAAAATATCCATATTAACAACTCCATCTTCATTGAACACTTCCAAAAATTTATTTGTTAAACAATAAAGAATTGCTGATAAACTTGAAGTATTTATTGTCTCGTTGATGATGACACTTTCCTTTATTTGAAAATATTATTAAAAAATTAATTATCTAAAAAATATATTTTTTTTATATTTAATCTTAAAATCCGTTAATATTTTTTTTTCTAAAATTTTTGTTTTCTTTCCTTTAAAAGACTAAACAAAAACATTTAAAATTTAAATTTACTTCAATTCTTAGTTGACTACTTTCACCAATTTCTTTTTCTTTTTTTCTTTGAATTTTCTCATAATTATCAATTAAAAATAGCAATTTATTTATCAATCTATCAACATATTCTTTAATTTTTTCTTCCATTTTGTTTTCAAATTCCGAATTATTTTTATTTAAAATAACAATTAAATCATTTTTCTTTTCCAAATTTTTAATTTTTTCTTTTAATTTGTTTTCATATTCATTTATTTTTTTGATTAAATTTTCCAAATTTAATTTTGTTGACTTCCTCATTTCTTCAATTTTTTCTGTATTTTCACATTTATTTTTAAAATTTAAAAAGAATTTTTCATTCAAAACCTTCCCAGATTTTCCTTTATTTTTATCATTTTCTACCTCTTTTTCTTCTCCTTCCTCTTCTACCAAATCATTTTCTCGATTTTCTTGTAAAACAACAAATTTCAAAACATAAACAGACAACAAACATTCATTTAATTTAGTTTTTAATTTAATTGACGTTTCAATTCGAGACAATTCTTTTTTAACAATTAATTTTTGTTGGGCATTTTTAATTATTTTTAACTGTAATAAATAAAAAATTATTAAATTTTAAAAGATTTTTAAGTAAATTAATACAAATATATATTATTTTTAGAAAAGGAAAATTAAATATGCTGACTAGACAGATTATGTGTTTCATTAATTACAAAAAATATTATTATTAACAATGTAAATTAAGGTATAATATACTTGATAAATCCCCTTCTATTTTCTTAAAAAAATACTTTCTAAACTTTACCAACCTTTTCAATTTCCGATTTTGCTTTCCAATAAATTGTTTTCACATTTTGTAATTGTTCTTTTAATTCTTTTATTTTTATTGTTGTTTCTTTCTTCTTTAATATTCCATGTAAAGAAGAAATAATTGTATGTACTTCGGTAAATGTTAATTTATTTAAATTAAATAAATCCACTTAAAATTAAATTAAAATCAAATATATATTTATTTATTTAATTCCTTACATGCTGCTTTTTTGAAATCAAACCATTCGTCATTTGCCAAATTCAAATATTTAAAATCATTTTCATCAACGCCAATGAATTTCATATCCGCGAGGTGGAAATCATCATCAAGAATTGTTTTGGCTTTTTGAGGGGAAAATGAATTATAGTATTTTTTAGGTGTTTTTAAACATTCCTAACTATCAAAATTTAACTAGTTATTATGTTTCAGAAATATGATATTGCCCCGCCTTTTAAGGATCTTCTTACTTTATTATAGAAAGTCTTGTTCCCTTCTTATTTTTTAGGTTAGATTCTATCAAATCCTTTTACATATCATTTCACCTACAAACTTTCACCAGGTATTTTAACTTTTCTATATAATTTCCTATTATATTATTAAATTTATAATTTTATTAAAATAATTACAAATTTGTAAATTCCACTCTTCTGGGTGCTCAAATTGTACATGATCTTTATCAATGCCACAAACATTAGATACAATTTCCTCCAACTCTTCTTCTTGAATTCTAAGTGTGTTTAGGATTTTTTTTTTTAAATTATTTTCTATTTTTTTATAAAATCTGAAAATGAAATGAATATATGTAGATAGTATGTAAATACATTTTAAATTATTCACAAAATTAATACTTTTTAAGAATATATGAATTTTCAATATCTAGTATTAGTGTCTATTATAGGGGTAAAAACAGACAGGTAACGAACCGGAACGTTTAACCGGTGTTTTTGGCTTTTAACCGGAAACGAAAAAAGTACCGATTAATAACCGATTGTGCCCAACATTGTTATTTTAGAATTATTATTTTAAAATTATCCAACAATTAGAATTATTTTATTTTTTAAAAAACCCCCAAAGAGTCGATTAAAACATGTATTATAATTAAAACTTACTCCAAATTTACTCTTTTATTTCCCAAAATTTGATTAATTTCACTCGCATATTTAAATAAATGTGAATCTGTTTCTTTATAAAATTTTGTCTTTGCCTGTCCTTCCTCGTTAAAAATAACTTGAAATCTTTTTGCCAAACAATAGCCAATAATCAAATAACCATCTTCCTCCAAATTTTTTAATTGTTTATTTGATTTCACTAATTCTTTCCAATTTTTCTCAAGAAATTCGAATTTTGAGATAAAACGTTCACGATAGGCTTTGTCTTCTTCTTTCACCTAAATTATAATTAAAATAATATTTTAAATTATAAACATACTTCTTTTTTAAATTCTTCCAACATTTTCTTCATTTTATCCAATTTTTTCAACTTTTTTAATTTCTTCAAATCTTTCAAAAGTATATTTTTATTATCCAATTCATTTTGGATATTTTTTAAATTTTTTATAAATTTCCTTGTTCTTTTAGCCATTCTCCCCAAATATTTTTTTAAATTTAATCTTTTATTAAATAAATCAGAAACTCTTTCCCATTTTTTTCTTTTAAATGCATCATCCTCTGGGCCCTATTTCAATTGTCCACAGATTCTGCGGTCTGCGTTCTGTGCACAGACCACAGAACCACAGAAATTCTGTTTCAATTATTCCACAGATTCTGCGGAAAAAGAAGTCCGCAGATTCTGTGGAAACATGCACAGAATCTGTGGAAACATCCACAGATTCTGCAAAACATCCAAAAACATGCAAAAACCACAGAATTCTATTTCAATTATTTTTCTGTGCACAGAAAAAAATCCACAGATCTGTGGCTTTTTTAGTCGATTCTGTGCATTTCTGTTTCAATTATTTCTGTGGTCTGCGGAAAATACACAGAATTCTTTAAAAAATCCACCCTAAAATTTTTTCTGCGAACTTTCTGTGGAAAAACTTTAACAATTTTTTTCTAGGCCTAGGCTTAACCAAATTTCAAAATTTTTAAAGATTATTAAAGTTTGAATCATTCTCTATTTTTTGATATAAAAATTATAATTTTATTACCTAAAATTATTGCTTAAAATTAATTTTGAAAAAGGTACATCTTTTTTACGCAGTTTTTGTTATATTCAAGCAATAAAAAAATAAAAAACGTGAGAGATTCTGAAATTTAGAGCTATGATGTTCTAATCATCATGGATATCTCTAATGAGGGGATGTTTACCAGGATCTATAGAAGATATCTGTATAGCGTATACTGGGATATCTCCCATGATCTCTCATTGATATCCGTCATAATCTCTCCTCCTATTTAATGATAGATTTCCTCCTTAATCACTCCAATATATTAAACCTCAAAATCAATGGATATCCCACTTAATCACTCCTCTACGATTTTAAAGTTCCGATTTGACTATAATTTTGGATTCCAGGCATTTTCGATTTCCAGGAACCTCAATTTCTGACTAAACAATCCCCAGTTTTGTAACATTTCCCTCCCTTGCAACAACTTCTATCGTAGTTTGAAAAAGCCACATGTCGGATCGACATCTCCTGATTTTTCCGATCCGAACCCTGCTTTAGGACATTAATTTAATTGGAGATTTAAGGATATTGGATGAACAAGAAAATTAAGCGGTATATCAGCGGTTTTAAAGTGATATCAAAGAGATTTAAAGGGATGTTATGTGATTTGGAGGGAAAATTTTTAAATCTTTACAATATTTTTCAGTTTAATTTAAGAATTTTTAAAGTTTTACTTCAAAAAATCAGGTACCATTAATACTGCGGTAGTACCGAACTGTCCAAACCATTTTTCGTTTCAATAAAACTGTTATTTTCAAAAACGCGGAAATAAAAAATTTGAATTTAGAAGAAAAAATACACAGAACCACAGAAAAATAATTGAAATACAAATTCTGTGGATCAGTGGAAAAAATCCACAGATTTTTATATTTTCCACAGAAATTTTCATCCACAGAATCTGCGGAATGTTTCCACAGAATCATTGGATGTTTCCGCAGAATCTGCGGGCACCACAGATTCTGTGCACACAGAATTTAATTGAAACAGAATTTCCACAGAATCTGTGTTCTGTGCACAGAATGCAGAATCTGTGGACAATTGAAATAGGCCCCAGTTAAAGGTTTATTTATTTCTTTTTTCAATTTTTCTTCAAAATGTTTTTCTACTTTCTCTTTTTGTTTTGTTATTTTTTCATTTAAGGATTTTATAATCTCCTTTTTAGTTTCATTTTTGAAAATATTTAGATGACGGGAGATATATCGAAGAGTATTTTTTGTTGATTCTCCAAATTTACATTCAGTTTTGAAATCATTAATTACTTTAAACAAAAAATCTGGGGCACTTCCTTCAATATTCAAATTAACTGAAAATTAAAAATATTTTTAAAAAACAACATTGATAAAAAAACAATTTTTTTCTGATTTTTAAAATTAATTTAAATATTTATGAATTTAGCTTAGCCTATATAAGACTGTCAAAAAAATTTTTATCAGAAAATAAACTCAAAAACTCTTTTAAACAAACCTCCTTTTTTTGATTTTTCTAAATTTTCTTCTAATTTTAACAAAAATTCCTTTCGTAATTTATATTTTATATCTATTTTATCTAAAACTTGTTTTTTCTCTCCCAACATTGCATCTGTTGCTTTTCTGAGAAAACTTTTCTCTCGTTCTGAATCTTTTTTTCTTAAATAATTATCAGTTTCAATTCTTTTATCAGTCTTTCTCACTTCACTTTCATCTAATTCATCTTCATTATCAATCTCCAAAGCAGTAAATTGTAAAATTTTTGCATATAAACTACATTCAATTAATTTACTTCTGTATTTTATATTTGTTTCAAAATTGATTAAAGCTTTTTCGAGTTTAGGTAAATTTAAATTTATATCTTCTTTGGTATTTTCAATCTAAAAATAATTTTTAAAATAATTCTTTCAAATTAACAACAAACTTTATTTAAAATTTCAAAAACGCCAAAGTTGATATTTTTATTATTTTTCACATTTCTTTCGAAATATTTAAAATATTTTTTATCCGTTTGTTCTTCGGCATTTAATATTTCTTTCAATCTTCCTTTAGTTTTCACATTCTTAAAATTTTCCCAATCGTTTAGTATAATAATAAAATGATGACTTTCTGTCAATGTCATTTTATGTTTTTCATGAAAAGGTGCTTAAAATATTTTAAATTACTTAATTTAATTAAGGGTTTTATTAAAATCAAAAATAATTTTTAAAATAAATATACCGTATTTCATCTAATAGAATGCCCGGACATTTTATTTTTCAATCATCCTCTAAAGAGGCATTCTACTAGATGGGGAATTTAATTAGAGTAAATACGGTATATCTTATAGTCTTCTCATAATTTGAATAATCACGTAAAAACTAACCAATTTCATTTATAAATCCATTGAATTTTTCTTCATCAATTCCTGGCATTTTTAACATTTTTTCCAAAGGTCCCTTCAAATAAGACATTTTAAATGTTAAATCTTCACGATATTCCTCTTCTTTAAAGAAAGGAAGGGCTAATTTACTTAAATTAATTTGTTTAAATAATGACGGTTTTGTCATAAATTTAAAGAAAACAATCATAAATTTAGTTATTCCTTTGCCATATCTATACAAAATTTGTCCTTTTGGATGATATATTTCATAAACTTCTTTTTCTTTAATTTCTTGAAATTCTTTATTTGGATGGTCCATTTGTTTTATTGTTCGGTCAATTATAAGGCGAACCTTTTGATAAAAAATATTAAAACATAGTTAAATGCTTATTTTAGCAAATATGTAAATCTTATTATTTCTAATTGACACCTAAAAATTGTGACACCTAAAAAGTTCTACGTTTTTAGTTCCTCTCAGTTGTACTTAATGTCAAAAACAAAGAATTTTAAAAACTGAGACCGAAAAATATTGATAATACATATTACAACTATGAGCAAAATATAAATGTTATGAAGTCGTGGCAAAAAAACGAGCATATTAAGTAGTACTTTCTTGTATTTGTTATTAGTAGAAAGGTTAAATATGTTAAATTTAACAGTGTTAAATTTAACCCTGTGTTAAATACACATACAGGGTGCCCAAAAGTAACTGCACACCTATTTTATGTCCTAACTTTATTTAAATTTAAGATAATGTGATCAGATAAGGATAACATTATCTGTTTTTTAAAGTTAACAACTCCAATATAATCTTTCAGAAAATTATCTTACAATTTGCTTATTTTTCATTGTGTCCGTACTCCACCACTTTTCAATATATTCATTTCCAAGACTATTCGCCGAAACAATGGTAGCAACAAATGAACCGATTTCTGTCGGCGTGTTAATTATAATTAAAGCAATCTTCAGAATTACTACTGGCATTCCAAACATTGCTGGAAAAAAGAAAGCAACCAAAACAATCTGACTTAATAAGGAACCAATTCCCATTGAATTAATTGCCATTGAAGATTTTTTCTGAATATCCATTGATGCTTCAATTTTTTCTTTAATATGTTCACGGAAAGCTAAGTTTCTTTCTTCATTTGTAATAACCGGAGATGTTTCTGGCTTTTTTGGAGCAAAGGAGCGAAAAGTAATTTTATGCCAAAATTTTTCCCTTTTCTTTTTTGATTTTTCCCTCCATTCAACAACGAGTGTATCACCATTTGGTTTTGGCAAAAATTTTTGGTCATATAATTTGTAAAGTGCGGCACGTTGAAGGTCACGCCATTCATGGAATTCTAAAGGTACCATTGCGCCAGATGTAGATGCAGCAACCTATATAAATTTTAGAAATTATTCTGCATATACCAATTAAATTTTGGTATATATTGAATATTTTATAACGACTAATTAGACAAATTTATCGGTTATATCTTGACAATAACTTTAAAAGAACTGATATTTCTAAAAATTTTCTATGGATATGTGTGACTTTGATTATCATTAAAGAAAGATTTGTTTTAAAAAAATGTTTTAAAAACAAACTATATTCGTAGGCAAATTTGGTCCTATCGCTGACATCCCCAATGCTTTCCCAATCTTTTCCATTGCTAATGCATTGTTCATTATAGAACCGCCAGAAGCAATCGTACCCGCTTTGAAAGCACCCTTCAAATCATCAAGAAATTTGTCCAGCGTAGAAGGGAAAAATTTGCCTCCATCAAGTGAGATTAAAAGGCGTTTAATCACAAGAGAATCAAATGTTTCAGCCGCCAGAGGAGTCAGCGAATAAAGAAATATCCCAATAATATGAGCACAGAGAGGACATCCAGATAATGAAATTAGAAAAATACATAAAGGCCAAAGACCGAGGTCTAAAATTAGTGCAATTATACCAGCACCGCCTAAACTCCATAACAATCCTTTCAAAATATCCATAGTTAATTGTTTAGCATTGTAAACTGATCCGATTATTTGTGCGCCAATTCTTAAAATTTAAAAATTAATAAAAATAATTAAATAAAATAGTAGTATATATGTATATTGAGAGTCAACACCTAGTTGGGCAACTCCTTATCAAATTATTAAAAAAATAATAAATTAAAGAACAAACCTTCCCCGAAATTCCTGATGTATAGGGTCATCTATACCCTTATATTGTAATACTTTTAGTAGAGGACCTTTTAATCTATAACAATTTTTAATTTCTTCATCAATTGCCAATAAATCACTTCTAATAGCTTTAAAAACATTTACATCGAATTTTCTATATTTCTCAACTTTTATCTTTCCCTTTTTTGTTAATTTCAAAATCCATTCCCAAATCTCATTTTTAATTCCCAAATTTAGCCATTTAAACTCTTCATTTAATAAATCATTCAAATAAATATCTTCTAAAGAATTCTCTTCATTATTTTCTTCTTTTCCTTTTTCCTTTTTCAGTTCCTTTTCCATTTTTAACATTTCCCTAAATATAAATCTCATAATTCTTCCACTCAATTTTCTCTTCCATTTATTTTCTTTTATGTTTTTTCCACTATTTTCCGTTTGAGGAATAATAAATTCTTCCGGGTTTTTAAAGAATTCTATCATTTCTTCATATTCCTCTCCACTTATTTTTTTGAAACGTTTGTTTGATGGTTTAACACTTACACCAAAACTAATTTCCTAAATTTAAATTTATAATTTCAAAACAGAAGTATTTATGTAAAAATTAGTGCTATACTACAGGAAATGAGTTTTAGTTTTATATTAGGGTTGTTGGCGGTCGTTTAACCGAACCGAAACCGAAAACCGGAGGTCGTAAACCGGCCAAAACTGAAAACCGAGGGTACCGGTTTTTAACCTGTCGCCAACAACCCTATTTTATATCAATAAACTTTGCTCAGTTCCGATCAGAGGTGAATCGCAACTGATGAAGGTGCCGGAAATAGGAACTGTCGAAAATCGGAATTCTGATTTAACTCTGCATTGGATAAAGAGTAGCATAAAAATGCTGGAGAATACAATCAAGTTATTAATTAACTGGGAGGGTCGAAGTTTCGGATTATTTATATAAAATTAAACTTTCTTACTTGGAGGAATTTAAATGGATGAACTTTTTGTTCAGTCATCATTTTATGATTTTCTTCATCTTTTTCTACTTTAATTTTCTCAGCAAACATTGCCCTTGCTTTTTCTTCCCAATCATTCAACATTTTATTCCATTCCTTTATTTTATCTTCTTTTTCTTTTAAAGTCTCTAATTCATCTAATTGATCAGAAAACGACTTTGTAATTGAATTAACTTTTTCATTGAGTTCATATTTTAATTTATCATTTAATTTTAAATGTCCAGCTTCTTCCATTTGTTGAATAGCATCAATATTTATACTAACTAAATCCTCATCCTCTACTTCTTGGCTCTAAATAGGTAGTAATACTTATTTTAATTTTCTATTTTATACGTAAAATTTTTATTTTTTTACGTGAGGGGATGGGGAGTCGGCAAAAATTTAGACTTTCTTAAAAAATAGAATGGAATGTCTTTTACTTCATAACCTTTTTCTATTTATTGGGATATGATGGCGCCTTAGTTTTAAGATTTTAATTTAGTCAAATTTTAATTTCAATTTAATCAAATTAAAAGTTGCATATTTAAATAAACATTTTTGAAATACGAGAATCGTATTTACTTGTGTCGATGCTTGTTGAAGTGAATCTCTTTCATCTCTTTTCGACAAAAGTGGTGACTCCTTTTTTTCCTCTTCTAGTTCCACTTCCTTTGGCATAGAATTCGCAGGTGATTTTTTTGTTTTTGCAAAAAGATTTATTGGATTATAACTAAATCGCCTTTCTTTTTTCTTGGCTTCCACTTTTTTCATGTCTTCCACTTTTTTCTGTGCTTTTTCGACAGCTTTTCTCAATAATTTCGCACTTCTTTGGAAAATTTTTTTAGCGGTCTTTTTCATTCTTTGTCTTTTCCCTTTCTCATATTTATATTCCTTTTCTGGGATTTTCTCCCAATCCAAAAATATATCTTTGCCACCCAAACCTTTACTTCCTTTGTAAATAACTTCTAATAAAATTAAAGTACTCAAACGAACATCCCCCTCATCATCATCATCATCTTCTTCTTCTTTATCTTCAATTTCTTCTTCTCCCTCCCCTTCCTCGCTCTCTGGTTTAACATAGACCATTTTCTCCTCACCATGTACCAATTCTTCCAAACCTTCTTCAGAAAATGTCAATGCCGAATCAAGCAAAAATGATTTCCCAAAAATATTTTTCGGTAATGGGAAGCCTATATTACATTTATCGGCAGGAAAAAGCACTTCCTCAAGTTTCTTTCGAACCCCAACTTTATCAATTTTTAAATAAATATATTCGAACATTTTTGCTACAGTTCTATCTTTTGATGTTATAAATTTACATCCTTTTAAATCTTTTGGAGCTTCACTAGCTTCTCCAACTGCTTCTTCTCCAACTTCTGCTTCTCCAGCTCTTTCTTCTCCAACTGCTTCTTTTTCGTCGTTTTGTTTTTTCATTGATTTATCTTCATTTATATCTTCGTAGCAGAAAATATCAGCATCAATCGGCTCAGGCAAGAAATATTGGTTAGTCCCGACCAATTTCTGAACATATTCTTCAGCAACAATTTTGTCACTTCCATATTCAAAATGGTCATAATTTGGGGTTGATTCTCCAGAGATTGAACTAATTTTTGAACTATTTCGCCCAAAACTTTTTCGGCCTGAACCTGATTTTGAATTTTTTGAATTTCCATTTTGTATCAGAGAAGTAAACAAATAAAACAGAAAAAATATCAGGAATGATTTCTTTCGTTTCATCTAAAAACAAAAATTGCAAGTAGTAAATAGACAGATTAAATAGGTTATGAGTAAAAAATATCGATGTTCCTATAATTATGTTACAAACTGTAGGTATTTATTTCTAGATATTATTTTTGTTTTATATTATTTATAACTTAAAAGGCTACAATTTTTTGAGAAGTTTTTTATTTTAGAATTTCTGATTTCAAATATTTTAAATATTTATTACTAAATATTTAAAAAATAAAAAAATATTAAATTTTATTAATAATGTAAAATTTATAAAAAAACTTGGCTAAAATTAATGAATTAGAAGAAAACAATCCCACAAAAATTAAGCATTGGACAATTACAAACTAAAACATGACTAAGTGAATTCAATGGCCCGATTGCTTTTTGATTTCCTGGAACCAAAAATAGTTTAGGACTGTTAAATAAAAATTTTAGTGATAGTCAAAAAATTTTAAATTCTATAGTTTTTTAAATATTTTAGACATTTTCTATTATATATTTGTTTATGTATTTATTTAAAAGAGAAAAGAATAATTAAATTTATTTATTAATTAAAGTTTTTAATATTTTAAATTATTTAAATGATTATTTAAGAGTAAATCGCAGGTTTATAAGATACAATTACAAACTGTGGGCGTGGGGATAAGTGGGCGGGGGGATAAAAAGCGCGGGCATAAAAAAATTTAAATTAAATATTGCCAAATTTTGTCAAGAGGGGGGAGGGAGGAGAGGGGAGCGAGGAGGGCGTTTAGAGGAGGATAAGCGCGGGCGTAAAAAATTGAAATTAAATATTGCCAAATTTTGTCAAGGAGGGGGGGGGGGAGTGGAGGGGAGGGGAGGGAGGAGGGCATTGAGAGTGCGGGCGTAAAAAAATTTAAATTAAATATTGACAAATTTTGTCAAGGGGAGAAGGGAGGGAGAAGGGCATTGAGAGGGAGATAAGCGCGGGCGTAAAAAAATTTAAATTAAATATTGACAAATTTTGTCAAGGGGAGAAGGGCTTGAAAATATAATATTAATTGATTAGAAATTTAAATTTATGTTTAAAAAAGACAAAAAGAATTTTTAAATAATTTTTTAATTTAATTCAAAAAAGTTTTTAGCCAATAAAAAGTTTTAACTTAAATTGTTCGGAGAAATATTTATTTTTATCAAATATATTCTATCGAAAAACATTATTCTATAGTTTATAAATTGTCATATATTTGGTTTAAAATACTTCTTGATGGGCTTAGACAAACATAAATTCATATTTATTTTTATGTTCATTCATTATATTTTATCAAATAAATTGAGATTTTCTTTGACTACATATCTTATTTTAACTTGAATTCAATACCAAATACATAGTCTTTGTTTGTAAATCCAGTTTCTTCGCTTATTTACAAACGAAAACAGATTTTATTATTTTAATTGTAAGAGAAATATTTTTATTAAAATAACTTTTGTTTCTTTTTTGTATATCCACTTTTTAATTATTATAATTTGGTACTACTTTTTTACTGAATTCTTTTTTTCTAACAAATAATATACATATAGTCGTGGAAAAAAGTATGGAAGCGCTAGAAAATTTTTTCTTAATTCTTAATTTTTCATTTAAAAAATAAGTTCTATATACCAATCGAAAGCTCTATTCGTATCTCAGTTGACATGTTTCTGCATTTTTCATGAAAATAAAAATTGGCCGAGATAATCCGGATCTACCGGATATACCAAATCCCACTTTTTCGGAAAAATTTTTCGGAACAAATTTAACAAACCCATTTGATAAAGCATATTTTTCTGAGTATTTTCCACAAAGCCGCTTAGAAATATCTTTTTCCGGAGCAGAGATATGATTTTTTGAAAATGGCATTTTTCCCTTAAAAATTGAATTTTTTGCAAAAATAGACAAAAAATGCCATTTTCAAAAAACCATATCACTGCTCCGGAAAAAGATATTTCTAAGCGGCTTTGTGGAAAATACTCAGAAAAATATGCTTTATCAAATGGGTTTGTTAAATTTGTTCCGAAAAATTTTTCCGAAAAAATGGGATTTGGTATATCCGGTAGATCCGGATTATCTCGGCCAATTTTTATTTTCATGAAAAATGCAGAAACATGTCAACTGAGATACGAATAGAGCTTTCGATTGGTATATAGAACGTATTTTTTGAATGAAAAATTAAGAATTAAGAAAAAATTTTCTAGCGCTTCCATACTTTTTTCCACGACTGTATAAGTATATACTTATTTTAACAATTTAAAAAAATATTTTTTTTTCTATAAATTATTTTATTAATTAAAAATAATTTTCACGTACTGAAACAAGTTTTCTTTTTTATATTTAAAAAAATAAAAGGTACTACTAATATTAACATAAAAAAGGTTAAGTTGAAATTCTAATTAAAATATGTAAAGAAGCTACTTTTTTGAAGAATGTGCTAGGTCAAGTTAGCCCCTTATTTTCTTTTATTTTCCAGTTTCTTTTATTTATTATTCCTCCTTTTTTGTAATTATTTATTGTTATTAATCTTATAATAATGAATTAAATCTGGTATTTTAATAAAAATGGGAGGAATATTTTTCTAAAATAATTTTCACCTTTTCTAGAACTTTTTGTGTGTATATATAAAGGTTAAAGTTATAATTATTTATTATTCGCCTTCCAGTTTTAGATATTTTTAAATTTTGTAAGTTTAGGATAAAAAGTGAATCTTTTATGACATTTACTTTTTACGATAGTCAGCTGTTTTTTGTTCATGTAAAATATTAGGTAGTTTAAACTTTATGGAAACATTTAGTGTTAATTAAAGTAAAGGAAAGGAGACTCAAATGTAATAAATTTTGAAATATATACTCTAATATACTTTTTACAATAATCAACTTCAAACGCACTTATCGTCGATTGACAATCACAAGCGGACAAAGAAAAATATTTTTCTAAAAATATATTTTAAAGCTATATATTAAAGCTATAATCACGAGTAAATTCACATGAGTAAAGTCGCGAGTAAAATCGCATGTGTTAAAGTGCGGGAAAAATAGATAAAGTTAATTAAAATTCAATAAAAAAAATTTTTAAATATAAAATAAATATAGAAATACAGTAATGTTTGTTTTTCCCGTTTTTGATTCCTCTTATCGTAAGCACTAAACTTTTAGTAAATATTTTTTAAGATAAATATTTTTTTTAAATTTATTTTCAATTTCCAGGCAATCCTTCCAAACAACCCAACAACATCCATTAATTCAATTCAAACAGCTTTGTTTTCCCACTTTCCCGGCACTAAATTTATCACAACCTGTGATAAAACTTCAAAAGCAATTGACAACAATAAAGAAGAAAATAAAATCAAAGAAATGCCAATATTTAGCGCTGCAGGGGATGGATATTGTAATGTTGTTGTTAAAGAGATTTGGTGCCAAGTTGTTGCTCTACAAGCTTGAACATGGGGGGGGGGGGGTGATAATAATTAATATTATTTAATTTATAAAAGGCTTTAACTATTTAAAAATATTTTTGAAACTCAAATTCTGATAAATTTTGTTTTAAATATACATAGGTATTTACTGTGTTTTTTCCTTACCTAAGAAATTTGAAAAAAAACTAGATACATATATTTTTCAATAAATTTCTTGAGGAATTTATTTGAGAGTGATTGTTTTATTTAGGTGTTTTAAAATATTTAATAAAACCCTTAAAATGTGAAATAAAAAATTTAATTTAATATTTTAATTTTTTATTAAAATTAAAAGATACAAAAATTATGTTTAATAATTTATATTATTATATTTATTTCCTTCTTGTCATCATTTTAGTAAATTCTAAAATTAAAAAAATGTTAAAATTATTTTTTTAATTCAACTTGTAAATAAATTGCTTTTATCTCTCTGTCATCTCGATCATGCCGCATTTTTTGCGAGGCAGTTCTTAGCTCTGATCTAAAAAAGTTCTTTTATTCTTTCCTTTATTCTATATATTGCAGATTTCAAGGAACCTAGTAGTGGCGTTAAATGCCGAAAGTTTGGAAGCGGAGTTAGGGTTGGTGTATTTGGATATCCGGATCCGCTTTTTTCCTAAAAAATCCTAAAAAATCGTTCGGGGTTTTTTAAGGATAGTGAAAGTGTATTAGCTCGAGCAATTGATAAAAATTCTAAATAATATTTTTTTGATAATAACTTTGAAAATTCCTTCTCAATACAGTATATTTCCTTCTCCTACATGCTTTTGATCTACTATATCATTCGAAAGCCCTCGATAAGCGATACCTTTTTCTAATATCAATTCTGATCATTCATTTAAAAGTTATAATACGATAAGTCCAGTTATTTAGTACTTTCCAGATTTATCGGGTTATAATTCGGCCGGCACTCAGTTTGTGGGAATATAACCGTTAAGCACCTTTTTTGATTTCCCGGAATATTTATATTAACTTTTGATTTTCCTGAATGTGTTCTATTTGTTTTTCCGTAAAGTATTCTATTTTGTTTGTTTAAAAATTAATTTTCAAATGAGTTTCGAGTTTGAATTTTGAAGTTAAATTTAAATGTCTTCCAGAAAATTTACCAATATTATATTTACTGTGCATTAAAAGTTTTTCCGGAAGTATTCTATTACTTGTATATTTTATATTTACTTTCCGGAAGTTGTTCTATTTTGTTTTCGGAAAGTTTTCTATAGGGTTATTCACGGTCGTTTAACCGAACAAAAAACCCTAAAGATGAATTTTTTGGGAATTTTTCAGCAATTTGAATTCACAAAATACACCTTGCCTAAATATTTTTATTATTTTCCTTCCATTTTTAGACATTTTTAAAGTTTAGGATAAAAAGTGAATCTTTTATGACATTTACTTTTTACGATAGTCAGCTGTTTTTTGTTCATGTAAAATATTAGGTAGTTTAAACTTTATGGAAACATTTAGTGTTAATTAAAGTAAAGGAAAGGAGACTCAAATGTAATAAATTTTGAAATATATACTCTAATATACTTTTTACAATAATCAACTTCAAACGCACTTATCGTCGATTGACAATCACAAGCGGACAAAGAAAAATATTTTTCTAAAAATATATTTTAAAGCTATATATTAAAGCTATAATCACGAGTAAATTCACATGAGTAAAGTCGCGAGTAAAATCGCATGTGTTAAAGTGCGGGAAAAATAGATAAAGTTAATTAAAATTCAATAAAAAAAATTTTTAAATATAAAATAAATATAGAAATACAGTAATGTTTGTTTTTCCCGTTTTTGATTCCTCTTATCGTAAGCACTAAACTTTTAGTAAATATTTTTTAAGATAAATATTTTTTTTAAATTTATTTTCAATTTCCAGGCAATCCTTCCAAACAACCCAACAACATCCATTAATTCAATTCAAACAGCTTTGTTTTCCCACTTTCCCGGCACTAAATTTATCACAACCTGTGATAAAACTTCAAAAGCAATTGACAACAATAAAGAAGAAAATAAAATCAAAGAAATGCCAATATTTAGCGCTGCAGGGGATGGATATTGTAATGTTGTTGTTAAAGAGATTTGGTGCCAAGTTGTTGCTCTACAAGCTTGAACATGGGGGGGGGTGATAATACTACTATATGTCCACTAATAAATTATTGATTGATGATAGACTACACAATTATAGGAGAGACAAATATCGGGCGAGGGGTGTTAGAGGAATTTTTTCCTGGCCGGCCGGAGGTGGTTGGCTGGACAGTCATTGAGCGGCTGATCCTGCGACAAAATGCCACATCTCAAAATGTCCATGGGCATATGTCACGTGCCAAAATACCGGGGGTCATAATGCCATTTTTCAAAATGTCCAGGGACAAAATGTCACCGGCCAAGTTGCCAATTTTTAAAAATACTTTTAAAATAAAAGCCGCTGAGCTGTAATCGAACTGGCGACCTTCCCTTCAAAGGCGGATGCTCTACCAACTAAGCTACCAAGAAGCTAAATTACTTTTACTATTAATGTATCTTAAACCTAATCATTCATCTAATGGGAGGTTTCTTAGAGTATCTATCATATTGTCTGCTTGAGTCTGAGTAATATATCCATGGGTTCTTAAAAACCTAAGCATAAAAATCCAACAGAGGAAAATAATAGGTAATAATAAGGTGTATTGTATTACTAAAATCAATAATCCATAAGGCATCGGGGCATTTATATAATCCTTTTCTATAGTCAAAAAATCAAATGATTGATTGGAGAAATTACCAAAGTCAGAAATATTCTGCATTTTTGTTACTAAAAATAGAAAAGGCTTCTTATGTATTAACCCAAATTTGAGTCAGATACAATATGGCGATTATAATCAATCATGAGCATCTGATCAAATTCCCCTAGAACAATCATTTCAACACCTCCCGTGGGAATTGGAGTATTGAATTCTAAACGAATACTAGTAGTACCACTCCTCAAAAGCTCGAAACCGCATGAATCATCTAATGTGGAAGTTAAGGGGATTACAAAGAAGGTCCAGCCGCTTTTAAATTTTTCCATTGAAATATCGAAGGAGCGATCCGAATTAGCCATGCCCAATGCTTCATACATGTCAACATAGGCGCGAACAAAGAGATCTTCGTTAAATTTTAATTTATAGGCGACCATGGGGTAGATGTGGCCGCCAGTATGAACTGAAATATCTCGCAAGTCATAGTGCAAAAAATTAAATGGAGATAGAGCAAAATCTCCATTGAAGGCCTTGTTACCTACTAGTGCAACTGTGATTCGCCGCGGGATGCTTGCACTAAATGCATTGTATTCTATTTCAGTTCGTCCCGCAGTAAGGAAAGTTGATTTAATTTCAGTTTTGCGAATTGCATAAGTGGCAGGTTTGGACTCTAGAGTCTTGTAAATATTCATGTTAAGAGATGGTTGAACTTCGATCATTTTTGCAAAAAGCTTAACGTCATGAACGTAGAGTCTATACTGGTTTTCATCAGTAGAGTTTAGCTTTTGCAAGGCAAATGAATTTTTAGATCGATAAATGCTAAAATTAACATCTAAATTATTTAATAAAAATAGTTCCTGATTTCCCAAATCAAAATCTAAGCGAGAAAGAAATTGGCATTTCTTACCATTTGAAAATATAGAACTTCGCTTTAGGAAACCAAAGTCAATGCTATCATCATGCTTATCAGTTTTATAATATCCGATGGATGCGAGAAAGTTTGACTTAACATTATTAGGGAACGAAAGTTCATTTGTTATATAAGCCTTGTAAGGATAGAGAGTTCCACTATCGTACACTTCATTATTTCCCACTGTAACTTTTAATTGCTGAATAAATGTTTGGCCAATTCCCTGAATTGGAGCAATGCTGGTATCGGTAGCGGTAATTGCACTCCATTTATTGTCTCCTCCTAATTTTTCAATGGAAAGCTCAAGATAGAGATAAGTACGAGATAAATCAGTCCAGAGATTATCGCTAAACAAACGAAATAAATATGGGGAATCTTGGGTAATTGTACTTAAGGGAAGGATTTCCCTGAAAAAGGAACGAACAACTGAAACATTTGTTGGTGGAACAGAGAATATACTCAAGGCACTATTAAGAGCTAAAGGGCTGTTTTCGTTTATCTTCTTGCAGCAGCTCATTTTAATATGTACCCAGCGCGTCTACACGAAATCGTTTTTTGGTAGATTTTTTGCGCGATTTTCGTGAAGGCTTTGGAATAAAATGTGGGGGACCTATTTTCGAATATGGTCGTTTATTTATAGTTTTTACCTCTAAATCATGACTATCATTATTCATCTGACCTATTGCAGGGCGTTTCTCAATATTTTTGTAACGTTTAAAATCAAAACCCCTCCCCTTTTGTTTGTCAACATTGTCTGCTGCTTTTTGAAGCAAATTCTTTAGACCAGATTTACCCTCATCTATAAGTGATTCCTTTAAATCTTTACCTTCTAAAACATTTGTTAGAACTCGATTGCCAGATTCCAAACCCTGTCTACCAATTGCACTACCAATTTGTTTTCCATAAGGAATCAGGTATCGCAAAAAACTTCTAAATAAGGATCCTAGACCACTGCCTCGTTGGTATGGGACACCTCGAAAAACATTATAACCACCCCATTGATGAACCGAATTGTCTGGTGATAAATCGGTCAACGTTGACCAATCAACATGCGAGGGATCAAATTCGATATGCATTATTTTTAATATCAATGTAGTAAATTCTCAACTATTTATACTAAATATCTTAGCGGAGACAAATTCTGAAACCAATTTGTCTGCGTCAACTCCTTTTAAATATTTAATTATCTTATCCATGTGCAATCCTTTACATCGCAGAAACAAGAAAAATATTACGTGTTGTCCACATGTGTACTGGAAGGGATGTTGAATTTGAATTCGATTAAAGCGAACGCTTTGAAATGAACTCAAATAGTTTCGTATATGTAAGCTTATTGGGGGCCATATCCCCAGCGAATCATAATAATCTACACTTGGATATTGACAAAATATTGCTATCCAGTGACTACCAGCTTCCCTACTTGTATCAGTATTTACAACCATACAAAAGATTTTAAAATTAATGGAGAAAGGAATAGAATCCGAAGGGAAACAACCGATATAATAATATTTTGTGATGTTATTTCTATTTAATATTTTATTTATTTGTAAAGTGTTCATAACGAATTAGAAATAGGGTGACTTTTTAAAATGGAGGGTTAATGTACAAGTTCCATATTGAAATGGCATTAGAGCTCCACTTGATGTTCTTATTTCAATAAAAATTTCATAAATTTCTTTTATTAACAATTTATGATACTGTATAAACAGAAATTGTTCTTCAACAATTTCATCTTGTTGTCCCCTAATATTTACAATGCGTAAAACAGGAGCACTTACATCTCCAATAACCATGGGTTCGATTAGTCCAGGGGCATACACATGAAAAGATGATACTCCCCCTCTCATATCAGGTATAAATCTTGCTACCGTGGATTCGGATATATCACAAGATTCAAACCCTAGAATATAGGCAAGTTGATCTGTAATTTGAATATTTTTTATATATGTTTTATCTAGAGTCAGTGCGAAACGATTTTTCTTAGCATAAAACTCAAAGTTACACACAGATCCTGGCTTACGATAGACACTTATCCATTTTTCGAATCCTGCATCACTTGTTAATGAAACAATTTTTCTTTTATTTTCATCTAGACTATTATGGTATTCCAAAAGTAAATTAGAGTATATTTCTGGTTCAGTCATTATATTAATATTCTCTTCTGGTTCGTGTTCATTTTTGGTTGTATTATCTGCTGGCTTTTTCTTTTTTTCTCCTTTTATAGTAATATATTCTTGCTTTGCTTGGGCTCTAAGTTCTTTTAACTTACCCAAATATTCTAAATGAAATATCCTCATTTTTTCTGATAAATCTTCACAACCTTCATTAAGAGATCTATCCAAACTGTCTTTTAATTGTTGTGGATTAACGAAACTAGAGGAAGGTACTTTTAAACTAACAATTTCTCCCGTCTGCCAGGTCACAGTAAAAAATTGTTCGGAAGTAGTACCAAGAGATGGCCATGTATGAGGGTAAACCATTACAGCTAATCCCACTGACCATTCTGAATTAAATTGCAATTTATGGGGTAATCGAACTCTGAATGAATTTGTTTTATTCCCGTCAACATTGGTATTAGAAGGTAAAACGATATAAAATGAAGTCATTTTAATTAAATAGCATTTCTCAAAGACCATCTATTTATATTATTTCCAAGTAATTGAACTTGCAGGAACCCAACTATTATGTTTTGAAGCGTAACCCTTCCATTTTACTAAACACTGAACTTCATTATCTATTCTACGTTTTCTCAAAACCTTTTCTATATCATAAAATTTTTCATTTTTCTTGAGTTTCTTTACCAAACACAAATCATCTGAATAGAACCACCCCCTTATTATTTCTCCCTCTTGATCACAAATTTTATATGTAGGTGGCTGGTGTGGTACTTCTCTTATTTTATTTATTATAAAAATTTCATTAGTGAAATTTGGCAAATATCCCTTCTGAAATATATGCTTGTACTTTTCTATTCTAACTTTATCCCCTACTGAAAACTTTTTGGTCTTCCAACGCTTAGGAGCAAATTCTGCAATGGCCTTTTCCTTTAATTTTTTTCTTAATTCTTCAGCATTTTCATAAGAGACGTCCACAGGACGCATACCAATACTTGAATTATAAGAGCGGTTTATTGAAGAGACTATATCTTGAATAACGTCTATCCATTTTAATGTTCGTTTTTCAGTAAAGTAGCGATAGAGGCGTTCTTTTATACTTCGATTAGCCCTTTCTGCCATTCCTGCGTGCCATTGTGGAGATGTAAGCATAGAGAAATGCTCCAATTCCAACGACTTAAAATATTTTTGGACCTCTTTCGCTGTAAACTCAATTCCTTGATCAGTTAGTAATTTCCAAGGAACAATTTTTATTCTTGAAAACAATTTTTTAAAAGCATCAATCATATTCATACTTTGTTTGCTCTTAACTGGTTCAACAAATATTTGACGGCTAAGTGTGTCAATACAAACTAATAGATATTTAAAACCTCTATTTTGACCACTTATCTTATCAAAAATACTTAGATCAGCTTGCCATTCTGCATGTAAACCTGCCGCCAATGTATGCATTCGATTGTATTTTCTAACTACTCTTCTATGCAGGGTGTAAGTATTTTGAGTTGATAAGTATTCTTTAACATTGTCCCGGGTTATATTCTTATTAAATTTTCTAGCCTCCCGCAATAGAGGTTCAATTGTTGTAAAACAAGTTGGAGAGTTAACATCCTTATATAAACGATCTAATATTTTTATTCGTTTCTCTTCTGATTTTTCCATAGGGATGGCTTAAACGAGAAAGTACCGTTACCTGTTTGTTTTGACGATGAGGAGGGAAGTAGAAGCAAATCTTTTAGGTATGTATGATTATCGAT